TTTCTTTTTTTTTCGGTTTTTCCCCCCTCTTGATCAGTCCCTCCCTCACGCTCCCTGACTGCTAGAAAACTTTTTAATCTTTGGTTAAACAGTTTTCACTTTTGAAACCGTAAAAAAAAGAAACGTCGTCGAGACAACAACTGACATGCCGGCTAACGGCAAGGGCGAGAGAGGAAGACGGCTCAACACCTCAGGAGACGTGTTCCTAGTTTGAAGATTTCTTTCCACTCGTACATAGGATATGTATTCCTAATTAGGACATGTGTGCACCAACACAGGTGGCGAACTGAGAATGCTAGGTCTGGGCGTAGGAGATGTGTTCCTAACTAGGAAAGATGGGACATTGCTCCATATACACACGGTGCTACCCAAACTATTCCTACTTAGCAAATCCGTTGCTGGCAGAGTCAGCGGTGTCTTCAACCAAGAATAGCTGTGCCTGCTTTCTAGCACAATGAAGAAACATTCTTTTTTTTCTTTTTCTTTTTCTTTTTAACAGGTCCTTTATGGTCCTGGCTCCAAATTCATTCTGAGGTCTTTTTTTCCCTTTTCTTAATGGGGGAGTATTGTTGTTGTTTTTTTGAACACCTGTATTTGTCAATGGGGAAGCATTCGCTCAAACAGAGCCATCCGGTGAGCCTCAGGCGAACATATGGTTATCATACACTCATTAGCATTTTTTTTTGGTTGTTTTTTTAAAGGGCAGCAGCCTCGAGATATTATCACGCCCCGACCGGTTAATTCAGCATTGCTATATTTTACTCATCTGCTTCCACTGGAATTCGAACTCAGGTCTGTATTCCAACAGTTCAGGTGTGTACCAGCTGAGCTAGTACGCCAGTTGGTCCATTAGGGCTTTTCATAGTAGGTGCCCCCTGCCTAACTACATAGTACCACTCTGGCCCTCTTGCTAATCTAGGGTGGGTGGTACACCCTAGATCGGTACATAGTACCACTCTGACCCTCTTGCTAATCTAGGGTGGGTGGTACACCCTAGATCGGTACCCTCCTAGACTGGTTCCCTAGATAGGCAAGGGGGCACCTACATATAGCTTTCTTTCTATAACTGGTACCCTAGGTTTGAACCCTAGATTGGTACCCTAGATAGGCCAGGAGCACCTGCGTAGGCTTTTCATAATTTGTACCCTAGATTTGAAACCTAGACTGGTACCCTAGACAGGCATAGACAGCTGCGCACGCCTGTCTGGTGGTGCCACAGTACGTTGTAAAAGAGGGTCGTGCACGCAGGCCCCTCTTGTATTCGATCGGGACGGGAAACGTCAATCACCTTTAAGGGGATCGTTAAACCCTTTAAGGGATCGTTAAACCCTTCAAGGGATCGTTAAAGCGAGAAGCAGTTAGCACTCAGACGGAGAAATAAATTGATTGCCTGCATGAGTTGATTGATTGAATGACTGAATTCCTGATTGATTGGTAGATTGATTGATTGATTGATTGAGCGAGTGAGCTAGTGAGTGAGTGAGGATTGAAAGATTGGAAAGATTGACTGACTCGCACTTTAGGGCTTCAATTAGTTGTCACATACGCATATTGATTGATGGACTGCTTGACAGTTCGATTACTTGGATGGGGATATCGCAGAATCGACTAACCGAAATTGGATAACTGATTCCCACAATATATATTGTTTAAAATCAATTGAATGATCGAACGATTGGATGATCGATTGACTCAATGATTGATTGATTGATTGATTGATCGATCGATTAAATAATTGATTGATTGAATGACTGGCTTGACAGAGCTCGATCACTTGATGGGGTTATTGAGGGATCGACTGAATGAGATTGATTTAACTAGTCTCCACAATGTCAATATATAAATATAAATATATACATATTTATATATACTTTTTTTTTTTTACTCGGCTGATTGATTGAATGAACGATTGGATGATCGATTGATTGATTGATTGATTGATTGAATGGTCGATCGATTAAAAAATCGATCGATTGATTCATTCATTCATTCATTGAATGATTGCTTACATGATTTCCAAGTTTGATTGATTGCCCAATTGACTGATCAGCTGACGGAATCATCGATTGAGGACTGATTAATGCATCGATGAATGACTAATTAACTTCTTGATGATCCATCAACTGTTGATTGAACGGAATTCTGCAAAGGCGGAGCCAAGGATGTCATCATTAGTGTGAGAACATTAGCTGAGAAAACAGTTGACCAGTCTCATGAAAACCCGATCCCTGAAAACGCAAAAAAAAAACGGGGGGGGGGAGAGGGGAGAGGACTGAAAAGAAAGCCGTTAAAAAACAATTCAAAAAGGAGTCCGTCAAACGGGAGATTTGAATACTTGATGACCAGTCGAAGGGACGGAGGGGACAAGGAACCAAATAAGAAACACGTACAGGCTTGATTGATTGATTGACTAATTAGTTGATTGATTGGTTGATTGGTTCATTGACTGGCTGATGAATTTATTGATTGACAGATTGGTTGATTAATTGACAAACCAGACTCGACTGATCCATTAATTGGTTGATTGGTTGATTGATTGATAATGTGTATCAGTTTCTTCAGGTCTGTGTTTCATATAAACTTTTGTGAGATTTCCGCGCGAGCCAGCTTTTGTCTTGTCATCAAATTTCCCGTGGAGGGTTTGTGTTTTTTTTTTTCCCCATTCTCTTCTTTTTTTTAAAAAGGACGACGACCTTGAGATACCATCATTGAGCTGACCGGCCCTAGGTAATTCAAAAGTATGTTATTTTGTTAGTCGGCCTGGCACCTGGATTCGAACTTGGGTCTGTATTTCAACAGTTCATGTGTGTACCAACTGAGTTAAGGCACGTTGGTGGGTGGGTTCTGTTCATCTTTGATGACGTTGTTGATTTCACAGGGGAGCACTCTTAAAGGCTTTAAGCCTTCTTTTTGTGTGNGGGGGGGGGGGGGGGGGGGGGGGGGGGGGGGGGGGGGGAGAGGGCAGCGGTTTAAGCCTTAAAAAGCCGTTTCAGACGGAATAAATTTGCTAGATAATTTCGTTGGACCAAACACAGCACTAAGGGGTTTCATTCTTTGACGGCGGTGTTTATTGGTAAATTAAACTGGACCAAACCAGTACTAAGATTACATTCATGGATGATATTAAAAAAAAAAAAAAAAAGATCGATAAGCAGAACCTTTTTTTAAATAAGCATTTATTTCTTCATTTCGTTCAATGAGTCCATCCAATAATTCATGAAAAACATTTCTTAAAAATAAAATAAAATCCCCTTAATTAGATTAGTTGATCGTTTACTCGATTGATTATGTTGCTTTTGGCTTGATTAGGGAATGTAATCAATCTTACATTAGTAAATTGTTCGATAATTGACAGCCAGGACGATACTCGTCAATAATCAATCATTCATTCATTCATTTTATTTTAAAGAGCCTCGTCTTTTGTACTATGCGGTGCTCGCTCATCCACGTCAGCATTCATGTCTATCATCTCCAGAGAACGCGAAAGCAGAAACCATCAATCAAATAACGAAGAAAGTATGAAGAAGAAGAAGACGACGAAGAAGAATAAGAATAATAAGAAGAAGAAGCATGACAAGAAATGGCCAATTGCTTCTGCAGACGCTCACTGAGAATCAGTGAAAAAACTTCATGCGTGTTATTACATGCTCA